TAGTCTAGTGTACTAGATTCAGTATAGTCTAGTGTACTAGATTCAGTAAAACCTGGTGCACTAGATTAAATGTATTCCATATCGATACAATCTAGTACATTCGAATAAACAAAATCTAGTCCACTAGACTAAATTGAACGTAGTATAATAAAATATACAAAATCTAGTACACTCAACTTTTTAAAATCTAGTACATCATGCATTATATATAGAACCAAGAATCATGTCAAACATCCTAGATTTTTGATAATCTGGTAAACTTAATTGAATCTAGTATACTCGACTATATTTAATCTAGTACACTCAACTATAATTAATCTAGTCCATTTGCTATTATAATCAAACAGTATCAAAAGTTGAAATTTCGCAAACATAAAGTCACACTTATGTTTTGTGCTCTAAAGTTGCCTTCTCTCTCCTGATGGATGTCTATAAAATTTTATATCTAAACACATATGTGACATAAACGACAACTGGATTTCAAATTTATTTCCCTTTTTTTTAACAGCTGCGGTTGCGCATGTTAATTAATTAATTTTTTTCATACATTTAATAAATACTTCAATGCAGTAACATATTAATTAATTAACACAGCTTGCTACTTTCACACTTCTTGATATAAGTTACTAAATTAATAATCATAAAAAATTATTTATTTTCTTCACTCTTTCTCTTTTCTGTTGCCTATTACAGCTTCGATTAATAAAAATAAATCAAACTGCATCCCCACCAAAAAAATATAAAAATTTCAAAGGGTTCCTCTTCTTCCCGCTCTATATTTATGTCTTCTATGTCACACAAAAGCTATCGCGAAGCTCGTATCGTACATGAAATTTATTTATCAACATACATATAAAGCTATAGAGCAGCTTGTATAAGACATAAACTTTTTTCCAAGAAAGAAAACGAGGGAAAAACGTTTGAGTAATTTGTTAACAGAACATGTTATTTTCTTATTGGAATGAGCTTCTCGAGGACAATTGTAAGTCTCAACTCTCAAGCTTAATGAGTTGGCTAGATGAAAAATGCATCTTAGCTTTATTTATTTTACAAATTATATGTGCACCGCACACAATCTTTTAAGTTGACACATTAATTAAGAAATCAAATTAATTATGACAATTTTAAGCGCAATTTTACAGTATAAACATGCATGGACATTTGTCCACGCGATGGATATTGATTGATATTGTAGAAATTTATTATAGAAAGTTAATTGAATGATCTTTTATCAATTTAGCTATTTATTTTTATGAAAAACTTAATTACCAATTTCACTCAATCATGTTTTTTTTTTGCTGTACGGGAAATGATATGCACAAGTCATACATTGTATGCATATTCATTTTGGCATGAGTACTCGCATTGTAATTACTGGAAATTTTCCACTCTCCCACATCTCGTGAAGGACTTTTTGAAAGTCAAAAGTATTTGGTTCCAAAGTTCATGATGAGTTGTAGTCATGGACAACCATTCTTAAAATATTGCCATAATTATCCGGGACTTTCGAGGCTACTTTACGTGATAATTGCTGCAAAAATTTATATTTATGGATTTCAGACGTGATCTTGTCTGTGCTATGTCCAGCATATGTTAAAATATGTTAAAATATTCAAAGTTTTGGACATACTGCTTCTAAATCCATTACACATCATCTTATCGGATTCCCTAATATCAATTCGAAATATTTTTTGAGCAGTATCATATGAAAGTTCAAGTGAATCTCCAAGGACTCGCTGTAAAAAGACCTCAAATGCCATCAGATCAATAAAACGCGTTGGATGTACTGCTGTTTTTGATGAAAGGGGTTTGGGGAACGTCTTTAAGATATTTATATGTACGTCAAGAATGATTATGTATCACATAACATTTATATAGTTCTGATAAGAGTCACAAATAGATTTAAAGATTCCGATTTGTTAATAAAACTTTAGAATCATGCATAAGAATGATCAACGACATCTAAAGGTAGTGCTTAACACTAAAAAATCCTTTTTAAGCTAGATTAGCAGCACTTCATTGTTAAAAATACTTGAAAATTCACAATCATCATTAAATATCCGTAAAAACTTTAAAACTCCTCAAACATTCTATGAAATGCGTTTCATGTACATGCACAACTATTTAAACGATTAAGCTTAACTCTTTTGAATCTCAATCCAATGTTTATTTGTTAAAAACACCATCAACAGCAGCAGTTTCTCTCCATAATGGATATCTTATTCACTCACAAATCATTTACTTAAATTTCATAGAGTCATTTAGTGCTTGTAATGTGGGGGGTTCGTACTCAAATAACGTCTTTTCATCTTAATTTGGGAGGTGGTATAGAGCTGCTTCTTATAAATCCTATACTGTAAAGGAGGTATCTAAACCAAAACTTCCTTATGAACGTCACTGGTGAATAGTGCCAATAGTTAATTAGCGTTTATAATGCTTTTGTCACATAGACTAATTTCTAATAATTATTTTCATACGTATTTATGATTCCTATAGCATGCACACTAGCTTCCAATTGTCTAGAAAAATTCTGTAGACTTTATAAATCATTTAAATTGTACTAATTGACAAGATTAAATGCATCTGTAATAATTGAATAGATTAGTGAGAATTATTCGACGTAGGTATGTGAAATTCCCATTTTATGACAATTGTGATTCATGTCTTGAGAATGACAAACAAAAAAATGATAATTACGTCAAATAAATTCTGATATTTTAATTAAAAACAGTTAACATTCATAATCTCATTCGACCTGTTTCATGACTTTTCATTTTGATTTTTCTGCCACCTGAGCTTTAACATGACACAATAACATTTCATACACCACGATTTATGCATTGGATATGCTTGTGTGTATGTAAATATGTGCATATATATATATTCAGATTATTTTTAAGAGATATGTGAGGCGAATGAAAGAGCAAACTTGTTAATTAATTCAACTATATCTGATCAAGTTTAATTGATGATGATTCCTTTGCGAATATACCTTTAACACATTTATACGTCTCAACGACGTTGCTTGGATGCAGAAAATATCATATATATTTTCTCTTTTTTTTATATCTTCTTCTTTATTTCATCTTTCATCTTATATGTGCAAAAAATAAACTCAGATTATGCAATATAATTTATTTACACATATACAAATGTACGAAAAATAATAAAATGTTCATATATAGTTGATATAAGATATATATATATATGCGGGAATGATGAGGATATAAATGAGGCAGAATTCGAGGAAGAGTAGAATAAAATCTCAATTTACTCCTGAATGAAATGTATAAAAAAAAAGAAATGAAGCCGCGCTTGAATTAATTTCATAGAAGAGAGTTCGTGAAAATGTAGAAATTGATTTTATTTGCTGCATAACTCGCAGAACACTTTGAATAATAAAACATATGAGATGAGATCTATTCGTTTTGTGAGTGTCAAGGATGTTTACTGTATCTTAGTTTCTTTTTTTATTGTCCTTAATTCAGCTAATTCAACGATTTTGAAAATATGTCCGTTTAAATTCAAAATTCTATAATCCGTTGAATGTTATAAGTGCAAAAACCGTTAAAAATGCAGATTCAAAAAAAAATTAACGGAATCTTTTCAAATTTTGCTTGAATTCAGCAAATTCAGCTCATTAAAAATTTCAAATTTCAATAATCCGTTGAACGTTTCAAGTGCAAAAACCGTTAAAAAATGCAGATTCAAAATAATTTAACGGATTCTTTTCAAATTCTGCTTCAATTCAGCAAATTCAGCGCATTTAAAATTTCAAATTTCAATAATTCGTTAAAAATTTAAATAAGTTTACAAGCTTTTTAACGACAACAAATTAGGTGAATGACTTACTTACTGATATTGATTTATTCCTTATCATCAATAAATGTTCATTGAATAAGCAATTCATTGTTCAATTCCAAGAAAATAAAGGAATCGTGCTTGTTTGTAAATAATTTAATGAAAATATTGAACCCACTAATTGAATTATCGCATCGGAGGTCTCAATTACCACTTCATCATGATATAATGTGTCAAAAAAGTTAAAAATAATCTTTCATCAAATGTCTACATATACTATTTTGCATGTATGTCTATAGTTATACATGATTTTATTAGTTTTCTAGTGAATATGAAAAAAAAAGTTTTTAGACATGTTAATAATGATGACGTTCGACGAAAAGTGTTGAATCATGCATGACTTGATTTAAATTTTTTAATACATAAAAGATCTACAAACATGTCTGAAATAAGCCCCGGCAAAACAAGCGGCTTTGATTGATTGCTAATTTATGAATTGTTGAGTTATTTAAAGGCACATTGTAGGTATTTCTCGGATTTGTGGTGTGAGTCATGAGCCTCAAAATAATATGTATATGGAAATAGTTTGAGGTACGGGTGTCTAAAATTGGAAATTTGTTGCTAATTCAATTAAGATGAATTCATCTTTCTTCCTCCCATCCAAATTTGGTGTGCATACACAAAAAAGGTATAATTAATTCTTGGAGGGTCATTCATCAGTGACGTCAATCGTGAAATTTTTAAGATTTTAAACCCCGCTCAAGAATTTTCATCATTACTTCTCCTTATAGAAAACTGAATTTTTGCAAAGATAATTGACATCATTTACGGACAAACCCCACCTTAGATTTTAATAAATTTAAATTTTTCGCATGAAAAATTATTTTAATGAGTTTCACTAAATAGAAAATCATTACATTTGATGATTGGCTTGTGCATGTCAATTAAATTACTTAGATAGTCCAAATGAGCTTTGCCTTATTAACGACAATAGTCACATAAAAGCCCCGCATTTGTGAATAGATGATTTCATTTTCGCTAGTATAATAATTACCTCCCTGCTACTAATTAAATCCTATTTATGGATTAAACAATTTCCCGTTAATAATGAATAATTTTCCCCACATCACACATACTTACTCTATCTCTCTTTCTCTTTCTCTATTTTTTATGTTTGTTTCTCTCCATGTTCATTGCAGATGTTTCTTTGCAAAATACTATATTTATCGGCACTTTTACTGATTTTAGTGCCACTGATTATTTCGTTACCATATCAACATCATGATGTGCAGAAACGAAGTTCCTTTTTCGACATCGACTGCAAAGGTAAATTAATAGAACAATATAAATTAAGAATTCTATACACAAGCATTTTGATAATATGTAGGTACAGCAAGCATAGAATGGAAGCTCATAAATCCTCTGCTTTCGACATCATTTAATGTAATATACACAAAAGCTTTACATTTCAAATGCATAAATAATTTTCGTATAATTAAATGAAGTTCTTGCTATTATTATTTCTACATAATGCCCACATTCAACGTTTTTCTGAGATTTAAATGGAAAACGAACCTTTATAATTTGAATTTCATTATTCAGCAAAACGCTGAATTAATTTTTCATAGTTGAACACCCTCGAAATTTTCTAAGAACAATTAAAATCGTTCCGAGAATAAAAATAAGTTTATTATGGGGCCGTTAACTTATTACGTTACGCAAAAAAAACTTTTTTCACCCCCCCCCCCCCCATTGCTACAATATGTTACAACTCACAACCCCCCCCCCCCTGAACGTTCATAATTTAAAGACAGACGACAGTTTGAACGTTACATACTTCTTGACAACCCCCCCCCCCCTTTGTTACATTTTGTTACAATTTTTCAAACCCCCCTCCCCCCTAAAATGCGAACGTAATAAGTGAACGACCCCTATACAGGATTATCCTCGATAATTTACTCGTGTGTACAGAAAGCACAGCAATCTTTGAGGATAGATAAAGTTTGCAGTCTTAAATCTCTCTTAAACCTTGTTCAAGCAACAATTATCATTGTGTAATAGTAATATTATCAAAATCCTTGTGTATTAATAAAGATTATGCAATTTTTCTTCATAATTTATCATCCTTAATCTGAATTTATTGTTCTATTTTAGGTGTATTTAACAAATCCATATTTTTTCGATTGGATCGAATATGTGAGGACTGCTACAGTCTGTTTCGAGAAGTTGAGTTGCATGCGCTTTGTAAGTGAGTATCATTTTCCTATTAAAATTTATTATCCCGAATTAAATGACAGCCTTACCTGAATCTTTATCAAGAGAGTGAATCAATCGAGAGATATAATACATATTTTATTGAATTTACGATTGGAATAACGAGTTAAGAAGGAAGCATAAAGAGAGGCACTTTACCTTCTTGTTTTTCACCTTCTGCGCTTACTACTCTGATGGGATCAGTTGTAATTTGCATTTTGGGGAATCCCATTCAACATACATAAGTCAGGCAAGCAAGGCACCTTTGCCGTTGCCTTTGTGCGTGTCCCAATCAGGCTTCAACTTTATTTTAATTTCTTGTCGAACGCTATCTTGAAATCTTTCACTTTTTAACGCAATATCTGGAACGGAGAAGGTTTTGATGTTCCAGATATGTGTGTCTGTCTGTTCGTCTTTACGTCACACAGGGCTTGTCTGGCTATTTTATAATGAGCTTTAATGAAAGAGAGAAATGAAGGTTCTGGCTCTGCATGGAAATTTTGTGACAGAAAAGAGAGCGAGTCTTGGGTTTTATTTGTGAACGACTCTCAGGAAGTCAAAAATCAGGTCTGAAGAATCGATGGATCGTATAAAATCAATTCTGCAGCTAACAAAATGCGCCTTTATCAACTACGAAAAAACCATGTCTTTAATAGTTTAACTTGAATTTTTTTATTCATCTCTTTTTGAAAAAGGTCGATTGTTGGATCGTTGACCCATGAAATTTGTTATTTTTATGCTAACCTTCGAACGGATTGAAGTTTTTTTTTCTTTCTTACCATTACGTGTAGTAAAGACTTGCTCTAAAGGTTGAAGGAAGAAAAAAAAATCAAATTGGATTATTTCTTTCATCGTAATAATCAAAATACTTCTCATTTTGTTAACATCAATAACAGCACCATTCGATATAATATATTTTTTGATAAGGAATGGAAATGAAATGTGTTCTCATTGACATTCTATCGATGAGACGACTTTTCTTCCTCTTTTTACTTTGTTTCCATCCATTCAACAGTGAAAAAGCTTCTTTTTTTTCTTTCATCAAATAAAACTTTATTTGGATTCATTTAAAGTCATTCTTTTAGCTTCCTTTTTCCTACATATATTTTTTTATATCATTCTTGCTGATGCCTAGTTGGTATACTATATATATATATATATATATATATATATGCAACAACCCTTTTCATTATTCATTTTGAGTCAATATTTCCTTGATGGCTTGATGTTTATACACAGAAAGAGTCAATGAAAGCAGCGCCAAAAAGTTCCCTTATTATTTGCATACTTTACAATATTTTCGGTTCCTCTGATCGAAGCCATTTTTTTGTTATTTTATGACCCTTGCATCTCTTCGTCATATCTATTTTATTGCAATTTTATGGAATGCAACAGAATGCAAAGTGTCATATTGAAGACATTGTTTTTGTGGCTTCTGACGCATATTGTAGCTGGTTAACGAATTTGAATTTTGACGGTTATTCAAAAAATTTGAAAATCATGTAAATTCCAATTTTTAAAAGCCTATATTTTTTTGAATTACAAAAAATTTTAAATCAAGAATCATCAAAAGCCGTTAAACTTCAAATTTTTTAAGGCTGTTAAATCTGTAAACCCAAAAACTTTTAAAATGACAAATCAAATTTCAACCAACAAAAGTGCGCCTCTCACTTAGATGGAAGTTCCCTGACACGTTTCACGTTCATGTAATTTATGCCATTTTCACACGATAAATTTAAAGAAAAAAAAAAATAAAATAAAAAGTTGCAATATTTTCATTTTAATTTTTTTGTTCCCTTCGCTTTATTTACTTCTTGATTTATCGCCCAGATAATTTGATTAATTAATATATGTTGATGTTTATTTCCCATTTATTATTTAATTTTTTTTATTCATTCACATTTTTTTCTTTTCTCTTCTTTTATTATGTTTGCACCATTATTCAGGAAGCAATGTTTTACAACAGAATTTTTCAAAGGATGTCTGGAAGCATTGCAATTGCACGATGAAGTAAATGTTATAAAAAGTTATATTAAGGTGGTGAATGGAGCGGATCCGCATTTAGGCAATTAAAGACATTTGAATGTCGTATGATGGAGCATAATTGAAGGAAGTCTATAAGAGTATGTTGAGCATCATATTACTTTCAAAAACAATCTTTTCAACCCCACCAACCTTCGAAAGAAACTAAATGAATGAGGAAGGCAGTAAGAGAGAGTAAGAGTGAGAGATAAAGAGGATGGAGGAGTAAAAAAGCATACAAAATTCAATCCAAAAGATTTTAAAAATACATAACATATATATTTATATATAGATGAAGAAGTAGAAGAATGAATGAATATAGTATAATGGACATATTGGCACTTAGATGAGATAATAAAAAAAAAGAGAAGGATAACAGAAATCAAATAGTATATACATAAAAATTCAAAACACATACATTTCTGGAGGAGCCCTCACAGAGCAGATTAAGATTATAAAAATAAAATAAAAATTATGGAGAGAAATCTCTCGACTTGTGACCTAGTCTCAATGCAGCAGCTAGTAGATATATAGAGAAAAAAAAAGAGGATTGAAGTGCATTATGGCCTACGAAAATGATGCTGGACATCAAGATATTAGTAATCAAATTACTGATATGTATGTTACATAGAAGGAGAGTGAGAGAGTATGTATGATGAAAAAAAACCTATAAAAAACAAAGTTCCTGTGAATTTAATACATTAAATGAAGTGATAGAGGTAGGAATGTCCTTACATCCTATGACTAGATCAAACATCAATGGTGCAGGATATAACAACGCACATTTATTCACTATAAACGCAAAAAGAGAAAAAAATATTCATTTCCACAGCATGAATGGACGTTTTTGTTCATGCTCGACGAGGAGCATATCCATAAGTTTTTTGAGGGGTTTCCCCAATCATCCTCGCCATGAGAAATGAACTAAACATAATCAACATTGAATACTATCGCAATCAACCACCGACCCCGAAAAATGGCAAGCATTTTTTTGCTACATTGTAGACCAGGAGTTCTCAAACTTTATTCCACAGAGCACTAATATTGTTAAGTGTGACTCCGTGTGACTATAAGAAAGATGAACAAGAAATTTCAGAGATTTACCACAGCCTGTAAAGTTTGAGCAACACTGATGCATGCATACACATCGTCTACAAATCATCAGCATCAAGGAATGGAAATGAAAAACTATAATCTAGTTAATTAGTCGTCATCATTCAGTCGGTCGTTTAGTGAAAGCTAGTAGCATGAGAAAAAAAAGGAACAATGAGCACATGTGTGGATGAACAAATATTTTTCGCGGATATTCAAGCAGGACAAGACATAAATTTATGATGCAATGCTTCTCTTCTTCGCTATATTAAATAATTGTTTCATCGTGATAATAATTGTTAGATTTTTCGCCTTATTTACACGTTTTTTTTTTTGAAAATCATAAATCATCATCATCATTATCATCATTTTAATAATCATCATCGCCGTCGTCGTCATCAACAAAAATAGTAAATGGTGGAGATATTGAACAATGGATGAACTGTTGTAAATTATCTGAAAAATGGTACGAAATGATAAAGTTTTTAGCATGTAGATTTGAACACACACGAAAATTTAATTACACTAACAAAAACATAGTTTGTAGACATTAAAAATTTGCAACAGCAACTAACACACTCATTCGTACTAATTAGAATAGCTTGTAGTGAGCAAATGCACCTGATGTGAAAGTAATCAGTACTATAAGATTCCTTTTCACCATACCAACTTCTCAGGCACTGTTTTGCTTCCTCAAAATTTTCAAAATTGTATTTGATTAAACTGTTCCGAGCTGCACATGATATCAGACCTGGTCTACACAGTTTTGATTATTCCTAAGCTTAGGATTCTCGTGTCAGCTTCATACTTAATAAAAAGTGTACTGATCATTAAGTGACTGCTGATAAAACAACATTCAAAACTGTGTCGAACAAGGAGAGCAGCACCACGTTGCTGTGACACAAAGTCGTAAACATAGCATCTTGGTGTTGTCCTGGTAACTACGTTGTGCAGCCCAGGCATCTAATTAACTTAGTTTCGTATTTCAATTAATTCCTAATTGCGCTTATGTGCTTTTCTAATTTTATCTTTTTTTTCTCTTCTTCTTTTTTCATTAATTTTAAATATCTCTAGGCAGGATTGCTTTAGCAGTGATTATTTCTGGGGATGTGTTGAAGCACTAAGACTCGAGGAAGAGTGGGAGAAATTTGACAGAATGCGAGAGATGCTTGGCAAAAAGAAGTAATGGAAAGGCAAAAGCGATTTATTCAGCAACAACAATGATTGGAACGGACTCAATAATCTTCTTTCTTGGAAGAAAATTAAAAAGTTAAATAATGGGACCAAAAAAAAAAGTTTTATGTAGATATTAATGACATTTCAAAACTGAACAATGATTAATCACCGAAATATTAAAGGAACAAAAAATGAGCACTTAATATCAATGAAGAACATTTCTCTTCCTTTATTTGTTATATGTTATTGATTTTGTGGCTGGGATAAAAAATATAAAAATCATGAATGAGAAATTTAAGCTGAAGCAGGGGTGTATTCAGATATTTTAGAGTTGGTGGGGAAAATTTTTATATTTTGAATTAAACAATTTTTTTACTTTAAACTTGCTGAATTAAGCTTGTTGATGCTGAATTCAGTTACTTTTTACTGAACCTAGAACATTGTTGCTCAGTTCAGCTTTTTTTTGCTGAATTCAGCATTTCATATTAAAATAACGGAATTATTCGTTTTGAATTCAATTCATTTGCTTAATTGAAGGCAATTAACGAAATTTTTAATTTTAAAAACGCTGAATTCAGCTAAATTTTGCTTAATAATTCAAATTTAAAAGAAAACAGCACATTAAACACCTGAATACATCCCTCAGTAATGTAAATCGTGATAAAAGAGACAAACTTTATATGCAGTTCATGTTGTGTATATGAGGATGAATCGTTTAGCAAAATTATACACATAAATAATGTAAAACTTTTTTTTTTGCAATTTTGATGGCATTTGAATATTCTACATTTTTACATTTTTGATGCATTTTTTACTATACATACGTAGAAATTAAAAATGACATTAAAATTGCATAGATAAAATTGTCCAGTGAACTTACTTATGTTGAATATTGTTTTTTTATGTTTCTGCAATGTCCAGAAACGAATCCCTTTTTCACATAAACACGAATTTCTCATAAATGGAAAAAGGAACACATTGAATATTAATAATTTTTTAAGTGTCATTCAGAGAACAAAAGAGAAGAAATCTATTCAATTTATGAGCAGGAAAAATTTATACAAAAAAAATTGAAACAACAATTTTTTAAAAATATATATTATACTACTCCTATCGTTATTAAATATACTCGCATGCATACATATACACTATGTTATATAGGAAAAAATATATTAATAATTTAAAGGAGAACTAAAAATGCAAAAAACAATCAAAAAGCATAAAACGGAAATTTTTCGTAAAATATATTATGTGTGAGGATAAAATCTTCAATATTATTGGACAAATCCACAGAGAAGATTTATTGGGTTTCAATTCATTAAACTTGAGCACATTTACAAATTTATTGTTGTCACTTTTTTCAAGTTTATTTATCGAAGGAATGAAACTCGTGAGTTATGCATTTTTAACGAATATTTATATTTTGAAAATTTTGATTTCCGAATTTGCTGAATTCAGCTTATTTTGCTAAAGTTTGAGTTCAGCTTAATGTGCTGAATCTGGTCATTAAAATTGAATCTCCAGAATTTTGTTAATTTTGCTGAATTCAGTTCAATTGTGCTTAATTGAGCAAATTTTGCTGAATTGGTTGAATTCAATTAATTTTGCTGAATTTTCTGAATTCAATTAATTTTGCTGAAGTGGCTTCATTCAATTAATTTTGCTGAATTGGCTGAATTCAAATCCTTTTGCAAATTTGCTGTAAATTTCAAATATGAATGTGCTGAATAAAGTCAATATCCATAAATTCAGCACAGTTACTGAATGCTGAATTCAGCACAATTACTCAAAATTAACCAGTAATTTGCTACATAAAAATATTGTCATACAAAAACAACTACCAGATACTCATGAATTGTTAATTCGAACAATGAATATTCAATTTGAAAATTGTGTAATAATTATACAGACAAAGTTTTGTAAGAACAAGTAAACAGTAATCAAATTAATTGGCAATTTAATGAAAATATCGGTAGAATATTTTCTCTATGGATATGTCCACAAAACATACAAATATATGTACACACAAAATTATTATTATTATTATTATATTGAACCCGTATAATGCAAACAGGCAAACTAATTTTCACACAATCATAAACAATTTGTGAATCTTGCAACAGAAGCATGATGTCAGAGAAGTGTATTGTATGTACCGAAATCCAAGCTCGACAAAAGAGGATTAAATCAATTAAAATTGTGTATTTATGTCAATTTTTTCACATCTTTTTAGTTTTTTTTTTCTACCCACAAAAATGATTTCTGGCTTGCATGCAAGAATTTTTTTCCCATTTTCCTCTTCCACATGCTTTTTTGGCTGGAAAAAAATTTTATCAAGAGGGAGGAAGAGTGAGATGGACGACAAAAATTTGAATCTAAATTATTATGTTAAAAATTAATGACATTGATTTTATGTTATATGCATTTATGTCACATTCAGCTCCTATGTGAGCTTCCCCGAGTGCTTTCACTAGCACTTTATACACTTTTTTTCTCACCGCCCATGATTCTGGTTGACCATTTTGATAATTTTTTCACACACTTAATGTATATTGAAATTTGAGGGTTGTTTTATTTGTGATGTCTTGATTTTGGAGTATGTAATAGCTAGGAAATTCAGACAGTTAAACCAAAATCTCGCTGAATTCAGCACATAAAGATTTTAATTCAGCGACTTTGAATCAGATTTCCATCAATTTAACTGAATTCAGCACTTTGAAAGATTTCCATTAATTTACCTTAAGCTTTGAAAAATATCCGTTAAATTAACTGAATTCACCACT